ACTATATCGGATTCATATCGGTATCGGCAGATATCCAAATTTATGATATCGGTATCAGACATAAAAAAGTGGTATCGTGCCATCTCTAATTTAGACCACTGCTGAGGTAGAAATATTGTCAACCCCATTTTCAAGCTAGGTGAACCTACTATTCTCTACTATTTTCTCTGTGTCCTTTGTGAACTAACCCTTGGTCAGAACAGCGTCAGCTTTGGAGTTTCCCATTTTGGCTGCACTGATAAGATGTGCAGCAGTGATTGGCTCTGAGAGTTTCATATCCATCCCCTCCACCTTCAACAGATCCTCTGTAAAAACAAACAAACACACAAACAAAAAAAAACAACACATGGATAATGAACATGGATAATGGATAAATGGAATGAAGCCACTTGAGACATACAACAAGAAGGGTTATGCTTAATTACTTCCTGACGTCGTTCATTCCTGTGCTGGATTTAAACTGACTTTACAGCTTAAGAAACAGGAACTAGCATTGCAGGATACAGTTTTATCTAAATAATACCAATCTCACTGTTTACCAGATTATCATGTGATGGATGACTGAGTTGCTAAACAAAAACTCAATAAATATATATTTGTTTAAAAAGATTATAGAATACAACATAAAACCATAAGAGTTGAGGTACAATTTTCTCTACCCCATCAAGAAAATACATGCCCCAATTTAAAAACAAACAAACAAACAAAATAACCGACCCCGGCCTTCTGTGTAAAATGTAAATAAAAACAGAATACAACACTTTCCCAAACCCATAAACCCACATTTTACTCAAAACAGAAGATATAAAATCGTATCAAACATTTTAACAGAATCACTTTACTATTTAATGAAAAATATTTGCTCATTTTGAATTTGATGCCAGAAACGCGTCTCAAAAGTTGGGAACTAATTATACTAATATTAACTGGCAACAGGTCAGAAACATGATTGGGGATAAAAGGTTGACCACTCCATCTATCAATGCAGGTTAAATCTCTATCACTCAAAAAAGGAGCCATGTGTTAGCATCTGCTTAAAATTTCCTGGGTAAACACTACTTAGGCTACTTCTGTGCTTACATTGAACTTATGCTGTTTCAGTACTATTGCACTATAATGCTGATTGCTGCTGCTACCACTTAGTGTCAATACATTCACACTCTTGGGTAGGGATGGGTACCGGTGTCCGGTGCCATGATGGCACCGGTTCTGACATAAACGGTAGTAACCAGAC